AGTCCATTATCAAAACACTAGATAGATAACCACTGAAAGTTTCCAGTTTTAAGCACTTGGTACTTTGGTAGGGGTGTTACCAAAAAGCCCTTTATGTTGACAAATATAATAAGTAAGATAGTTCACAAGAAAAAGCCAAAGAGAAAGGAGGGATCACACCTCAAAATCAGATAAAGAGATCAAAAGATTAGAAACTATTATATTACGAAACAAGAAAGTAAAAAATCAGCTTGAAGAAAATTAATTACATATATATATTTTTCATTAGTAAATTAATTACTTCAAATATTCCTCAAAATAGTTAAAATCTCAGAAAAAGACCAAATTGGAGTCAAGCAAACAATCATGTGATGTCGTAGATTGGAATAAAATGAATTAGACAAACAAAACATGAAGCACAAACAACCAGAAACAATATGGGATGACACAGTGTCTAAGGTAGTAGGTATACAAGTTTTGGAAGTCCAATGAAAGGGCTACAAACCTCATGCAATTGAGAAAGCTTATGATAAAAACGAAAGTGTTTGCTGTAGTTTTTTGTTCTTTAATTTCTCTACTCTAAGTCCCAATGTTTAGTAGGACTTCAAATTTTCAAAAAAAAATTGCATACAGTTCAATTATTTAGAACTTCCCACATCAAGAGAAGTTCGAATCACTGTAGTCCTTCCAATTGAAGCATCTGACTGTAGAGGGTTCAATTTATCTCTAATAGTGAATTAGTTAGGTTATATTGGTTATCTCAGTTTCTTTTACTTGATCTTTAAAAAGGATTTTAAACTTGGGTGGACCGCCCCCAAATCCCAACTCTTTCATATATTAATAGACACAGAATAGTCAGATATCCAAACCAAATTATACAAATCAATTCAGCCTATGTTCATCTTTGGCCTGGATAAAACTTGGGGGCCCACCGCCCGCCAAATATTTTATTTCGACTTCTACAAGATATATTTATATAAGCACGTGAATTTAATTATACTACTATGGACCTCCATAAAATAATGTGGAGTTATATGGAAATTAAAATTTTATTCAAGTATTTTTCAGAAGGGACCGTTCTAGCTCTGTTAGATTTGAAGATCTTTTCATCTGTAAGTTATATAGCATAAGTGGTCCTACGAACTATATGATACTCCATTAGAGGTAAAATAATCTTTCCAATATGTGGATTTGCTTTCGATACGTTCATTGGTCAAAGAATATTCTTGTATGCAATAAGAAAGTTGCATCCAGAATGAAGAAGACCATCTTTTATTAGAGCAAAAATACAACCACCATCTCTCTCTCAACCAAGGGGCACTCTCTCTTTCTCTTGCTTAACATCATCAATAATTTTTCCATTTTTGCCACCTCTCTTCCACAATCAACATCAAATGACCTTTCATAGCCAAAATGAATTGAAATTAATTACTTATTTTGGGATTTTACAATTCCTTTGCACCATCAAGTCACTTCGTTCTTCACCATTATGATTCATACATGTAGGCAACAAGAGAAATTTTGATACTATGTCATATTCATAAAGTGAACCACGTAAATGATATTAGGATTAGAGTTTTTTGAACACAAGTTTCCTCCCCACAATAAGCACCATGGATTCCCAAAAAACAGAGAGGTCAAGGACGTTTTTATGAGTAATCATAATGATTTACTCATCTGTTTGGGTTGATATTTTCACTTGACATTCCTCGTTTGCCCACAATTTATTTAGCATTATATAATAGATGGAAAAAGAGAAGAAAAAAAGCACTCGCAATTAAGAAATGCACCGGTGACATAGGCAATGAACTCTAGGCTTGAAATAGATTATAAATACAATATTACGTTGGCATACCGAATTATAAATTCATAATGATTGGATCAGTATAGCCTGGCGCTCCAAGTACAAACTTATTTGCGATTGGTTGCTCATCACCAAAACCCCCATCAACTAGCATACAAAAGTCGAATATTACTGGATTGTAATCCTGAGTTTAAGCATAACATAATACCATGTTTAATTCTTATTAAAAAATTATCCAGAACAAAATTACTGAAAAGCTAAGTGCACTAAGTACATGGACACCAGATCTGACCTGATCAACCATGATATGTGCAGAACTAATATTGCGAACTAGGTAATGCGGTTTATGATGATAATGCAAAAACTCGAGCAGACGTGCAATGTCAATTGCCACCTTGATTCTGTGGAGCCAGGAAAAGCCATCTACGTTCACCCAAAAAAACAAAACTCTTTTAGTAAATAGCATACTAATCTATTTTAAAGAAGTTTATCTGAAGTACCAACCACATCCCTACATGTGATGGCAGCTACACCCTACTAAATGCGGTACGTCCAAACAAGACAAAATTTTAATTACTCAAAGAAATACATTTTCTTAGTCAAAGAAGAAAATAAAGCACACAGAGAGAGAGAGAGAGAGATTATCCAACAAACTAAACAATGATTTACTAAAATAATTAGTTTAGGAGCAGATTTAAGATTCAGTATAGCAAGCCAAAGTAGTAAATGTTATCACCGAACACTAATATGGAAAATCAGTTGGTCTTGTAATTATAGTTTTTTTTTCTTCGGAAAATAAGAGTAATGACATAAATGAAAAAGGAATTACAGATGCAAATGGAGCATACCCCAAGCCCTATATGAAAGGCCCAAAGCCATAAGGCTACAAAAAAAGATCCAAAGGAAGCCCAAGAGGGCATACACAGTAAAGAGAAAAACGAACCCTAACCAGAGTCTAACTGAATCGGAGGCAAGGCATGATTATCAACAATACAACGTTTCAACCTATTCATGGTGGATGGTAAGCGGATGGGATGGAAGAGGTTCCAGCGGTGTCAATGGAAGGGTTAGGCTGGAGGTTTGGAAGGTTGGTTGTCATAGGGAAAGACCAAAAGGGGTTGGAGTGGGATGCTTCATAGAAGAAAAATGGGAGGTTCCAGTCACGAGCAATGGTTTCAGCATAGGGGCAATCACATTTTTTGATTGAGAACATCTTGAGCCTCACAGTGTTAATCACCATGTTCAAAGTCTTCCATGGAGGTAATGACATGCCCTTAAACATTCTATTGTTTCTCTCTTTCCAAATGTGGTAGACATAACCGGCTAATACCAGCTTCCAAGTCATGATTCTGCTGAATTTTAATTTTTGTTTCCAATTAGAGGATGCCCAGATGAGAAAATCCTTCCATGAGTTTGGATTTGTGTAGAAACCACATTTATCTTGAATGCCATTCCAAATGATCCTTGAGTATGGGCATTTGTGGAAGAGATGGTCATGATCTTTTGCAGCTTAGAGGCACAACAGGCACACATTTGGTTGCATAGTGTAGAAAGTAGATGGTTTGTCTTGGGTAAGCAATTTTTCTTGGATTGCCAGCCAAAGACAGAAGGAATGCTTAGGAATAACATGCTTAAACCAATCAGTGTGTGCCAAAAAACATTTGGGATAGGTTGGATTATGGTTTTGAGGGTGCACTTGACGGAGTATGACTTGGTTGGTGAGGCTGTCCATTGAATGAGATCAGATGAAAGCAGGTTTGTAATTATAGTTGCCACTTTATAAGATTCATTTTCCCTCTCTCCCAACATATACTGAAAACATGACGTGCATGCTCAACAGATTGATGTATGATTAGAAAAGTCAAGTTGTAACAGATTAATCGAAGAAAGAAAATATGTAATACCTTTATCAATGAGGTTGTGCACTGTATCCACTGGTTTAAGGTCGTAAACAACCCCCAACAGACTATTTTCGCAGCAATATCCCAAAAGTTTGACTAGACTCGGATGATAATTTACACTCGACTCCATTAGAAAAATGGATTCTTACTGGGAAAATTGAAACACAGCATTCAACAATGATAGGAACAACATCTATAACCATCAAATTTCAAAATTGAAATTTCAGACACTAAACTAATGAAATATTGTTACTACCGCCAATTGGGAACAGTGTTCATCCCTGCCTACAGCAAAGTATCCTAAATCTTCCCAAATCTTCACAGTCACATCCTGACCTTGTTGAGTCTTTCCTCGATACACTTTGCCGAATTGGGCTTCTCCAATCAGATTTGCTTGGCTAAAATTACTGGTCTCCGCAGCGGAGAACTTGATGATATCGTACTCTCTGAGCATTTCCACAGTTGGACCTATCTCATATAAAGTACCGCAACACACACTGTCAGTACTGTCACATACAGTTAAATTTTCATATGAAACCATGAGAATACATTTGTAAATTAGATCATTTTAAAGTGAAACTACATGAAACAATTTTACATATTTTCTACTTAAATAATCCACAGGTTTAAGGTGATAAACATTTGTTTATATATTGGATCATTTTTAAGTGACTACAAGAAACAATTTAATTTTTCTTTTTCTTTTTCTTTTTCTTTCTTTTCTCAGCATGTGGTGACACCAATAGAGAACTTGGAAGAATGGGCGTCTAATTTCAACATCTTGAATCGGAATTGAAATTGAAGACAATATCAATCAAACTATAAACTATTTTCCCTCTTGATGATTATAATTTAATTACCCGTGGATAGGGGAAGATCGTTAAAGTAACGCGCTATCTCATAAGATTGAGATAGGCTCTACAGACTAAGATAAGGACTACGACTAAGATAAGGGTTACAGATTACGATAAGAATTGCAGAATACGATAAGGATTAGGCCAACAGATTATGATAAGGATTAAGGACGACGTGGACGCTACGTAACATCCTGACCCAAGTCCTATAAATAGGGAGGGCTAATCGACGTTTGGAGGTAGGCAAAAAAACCCTAACTCAATATCTCGATATCTCCAGAGAGATTATCATTCACACTGACTTGTTCGTCGGAGCCTACTCCACCAGTAACACACCGGTGTTTGTAGGATCACTTTTTCTTCTCTTTATTCAGGAAGTCAGATCAGATCCGGGTTGCGTAGAATCCATCTTCAACAGTTGGCGCCGTCTGTGGGAACTTATTTTTGTTCTCTAAACAAAGCATGGTTCTATTGCGATCTGGTCTGGCTGCTGGCGAGGGCGAAGGGTTGCAGGCTTCTGATGTAGGGACTTCAATGGGGCAACCCCCCGTCGTCCCAAATGATCAGGAACGCGTCACAGCGTTGGAACAACTGGTGAACCAATTAGTCCAGCAAAATGTGATGATTCTGCAACGCTTAGCCGCCCCCAACGAGGAGAGAAACAATGAAGTACCCAACGATGACTCCCGTAGGGTTAACAACAATGTTGAGCTTAGTCAAATAGCGGGTCAACAGAGGAGCCATCACCATCGGTCCCCTGAACGGAATACCACCAGGCTCCGTGGAGATACTTCTAGTTATGTTGGAGACAAGAATGAGGACGCCACTCAGTTCGATCTAAAGTTGCAGGATCTGAAAGCTAAGGTTGACGATGTCATGCAAGTGATGAAAGGGAAGGGCCAGGCTGCAGTGAACGATATAGTACAAAAGACTAACCTAGCTTTTAGCCCAGCTGTTATGAGTTGTCCTCTACCTAGCAAATTCAAGATGCCAACTCTTGAGAGCTTCGATGGGACGCGGGACCCTCTCGACCATTTGGAGACCTACAAAGCTCTTATGTATTTTCAAGCCGTACCGGACGAGATTATGTGCAGGGCTTTCCCTACCACACTTAAGGGTTGGGCTCGTCTCTGGTTCAATAAATTAAAGCTAGGCTCCATTGAAAACTTTGAAGAGTTAAGCAAACAATTCATAGGACACTTCATCGCTGGGCAGAAGTACAGGAGACCAGTAACACATTTACTTAATGTGAAGCAGCAGAAGGAAGAGTCCCTTCGTGATTACATAAGTCGTTTTAACACTGAAATGCTGCAAGTTGAAGAGGTGGACGACAAGGTTGCCCTCACAGCCTTTATGGGAGGACTACAGACTTCTAAGTTCCTATTTTCCTTATCAAATGAAGCCCCTACAAGCATGACAGAGTTGATGGTTAGAGCGCGGAAGCACATGAACGCTGACGATGCTATAAATGCACGAAAAAACAAAGATAGTGAAGATAAGAGGTCGGATAAGAAGAGGCCAGCACCTAGCACTCGGGAGGAAAGGGAATTGAAGTACAAGAAATTCTCAAACAACCAGGCTGACAGATCGTTTCGCCGCCCAGCGAGCCCAGGCAGGTATAATAACTATACCCCCCTAAATACATCTGTAGAACAAGTCTTTCTGCAGATTCAAGATGACGCATCATTGAAATGGCCACCAAAGCTAAAAGCTGATCCAACAAAGAGGTCTCGAGATAAATACTGTAGGTTTCACCGGGACCATGGACATAACACAGAGAATTGTTTCGACCTCAAAAACTAGATTGAGAACCTTATTCGTAAAGGTCATTTACGCAAATTCACAACTAGAAATGGAAAATGAGGCTCCAACCCAGCCCGGGAGTGCCGAGATGATCGCCCTCCTCAACACCAACCAATGGGTGAGATCAAAGTTATATCGGGTGGCTTCGCTGGTGGTGGTAAGACGAGTTCAGCTCGGAAGGCTCATCATGCTAGGAGAATTCGGAGTTTTTCAGAGGTGAATGAAGTTGGAATGACAAGTGTTGGTTTCCTTGATGGAGTCGCCACAACCAACAAAGCTTGAAGAGTTGTGAATTTAGGAGGTGGCCAAGTTTTACATTTATAGAAAGCCACTACTACCTTTCTCTATATAAAATATAGATAGGGCGAGTAGGGATCGTCCCAAGGGATTTGATGGTGTATCGAATTGTGAAACTATGGTAATTAGGGTTAGTAGGTCGAGTGATCACACAATTGATTGGTTGGTTGATTAAGCTAAATTGAATTTAACTAAATAAAATAATATAAAGTAAAAAAGAGAGAGAGAGGTCTTGGGGTGTAGAGATCACCACCAAGCAATACTTTTCTATACTACTAACAAGTGATCAATTGAGGGTAATGGATGTGTTGCAATATGATAAGGGTGTGTGTGCATTAGGTTGATTCAATTGGCAAGGATGACAAATCAAGCAAATATTGTCTAAACATCATGTGAAGAGCACAATATATCTAAACAATAGAGCATATATTGTCTAGACAACATGGGGATAGCACAATAGATCAAAACAAGTCATTAATCCTTCATTAAGCTCACAATCCACATATAACACAATATTAGAGGAATATGCCATTTGGACTCACAAACATGGAACATCAAACATCAAGAGTAGATTGTCCTCCCATCTAACATTACATTACCACTACACTAAATCTACACTACTAGCATGAAAATAAAGCTATCTAGACTAGGGGAGATGCACAAACCATCAAGAATAGGCATAAACCATCAAATGAACCAAAATAGCATTCATTAAGCATATCATCTTGATAATCTCTAGATCTATAGCATCAATACACATAGACATGCATCAAAAACACTAAATCTAGGGATAAGCACATGAATATCCTACTCTAGCATACATAGACATATGGATAGAATAGAATAGTCAATTGGAAGCATTAAACCATACAAACCATGAAATAATCAAAATTTATATATACATGAATATCAAGATGTATCATACAACACTAATCCCTCAATAATACACAAGATTAGAGTATAGAAAGCATGCTTGGGGCTAACTCTAGCCCCAAGAGGATGTCTAGCCACTCATGGTAGTGATGATCCAACCCTCAAGGGCTAACTCCATGGATGTTCCTTGTTGGTGAAGATCTCCTCCAATGGTTGCTCTAGCTTCCTCCATTCTTCCTCTCCAAGAATAGCCTCCAAGATGATTTTCAATGTGTGACAAGAGGCTTACTCAAAAAGTGTATTATATTCCTTATATAGGTAGGTCAAATACACCCCATGATGAGCTGTGGTCATGCAAGGCATATTCTCCAATGATTGGATGAAGGACGGAATAAATGAGCTGGATTTTAACTTTTTCTCGCTGGAGGAAGTTCGATCGATCGAACCTTAACTTGGATCGATCGAAAATGGGTTCGATCGATCGAACTGCATCTTGGATCGATCGAAGTGGTCTGACTCCTCCGGATAATGACAAGGCTGGGATATTTTTAAGATATTTATGGGGAAAAAGACAAAAGTGGTTGGTAGGCGTACAGCTGTGGATAAGATCAATCATTTGAATAGGACAAAATAGGGTTCGATCGATCGAAGGTGATGTTCGATCGATCGAACATGGAATTTCAGCAAAGGCCAAGGTTGGATCTATCGAGAAGTACTGTGATCGATCATAGATGTTCGATCGATCGAACTCTAAGTTGGATCGATCGAACTTTTCAGCTGCACAACTTGATTCCTTTTTGTTCCTTTCTTTCTCCACTTTGCTCCCTCCTTTGGTTTATCTCAGGATTGCTTCAATTAAGCTCTTATTTGGCTGAGTTAGCTAAATTTTGGGATTAGTGCCTGAAAATATAAATAACACGTAATAAGTCTAAAACGGCAAAGTAAGATAGATAAAGGTACTAGAATGCTTAAGCTGAACAGGTTTAAATGTGCACTTTTCAGTGCTCATCACACCCCCAAACTTAAATATTGCTAGTCCCTAGCAATGAACTAAGAAGTAAAGGAATGAAATAAACAACTATACAAGTATAAACTGGAAAGCAAGTAAAATGATAACACCATTTTCGTAGGGAACACGATTGCATTTAGCATATGCAACAAGCCTTTTAAACCCCTAGGTTACCCCTAGTGGACGAGTAAAGTCTCGTGAGGGTTTCCAGAAATGGTACCCACAAACATTAAGTTCATTCTTTCAAAAGAGGTACCAATATTGCAAACAAGCATTGGGAGAAAACTACCTCAAGTATGCAATTTTTCAACCGTTTTTAAGCAATCTCCCAAAATTTCAATATCAAGCAAGCAAGTATAGTCCTCTACATATCAAGAAAATGATCATGAAAATCAAAACAAGTCTAGAATCCATGTGAGAGGTCCGGCATCAAGTGTGTTGCTATCTTAGCCAACTAGAGAAGTAATCACATCCTTACCCTCAAACTAGCACACAAATCTAGTTCCGATCATCAAGATAAGAGAGTGGACCTTTTATTAAAGCTTTATTGTTCTAGGTGTGCTTATTCTTTTCACTCTTTTTCTTTCTTTCTTTTTTTTATTTTTTTATTGAGGATCAAAGATGGAAATATTGTGCAATGTGTTGATCTCTTAAGCTTTCTAGAAGATTCATGTAGCGAGCTTTAGGTCAATGACTCCCAAACCAGATGGCTTTAGGGCATTAGGTGTTAAGACACCCCAACGGACTTACAAACTCAAATCAACTAGGCTACAAATTAAGACAACAACCATCTAATCATTTCCCACTTCTCGCCTTTTGGGAGAAGTCCTCACTTTTATTGCTTTTGCAACTTTCTTTTTTTTTTTTTTTTTTTTAAACTCAATTATTAACCTAGAGTTTGGGCCCTCCACTTTTCGGCGCGAGAAGTTCACTGCTTAATGAGGCAAGAATCCCAGCTACTCAATGAAAAGGGGTTGTTATCCACCTTTATCAATAATGAAAGCTTTCAATGCACTACTAGCCCAATTGGGATATAACGAATTCAATAATCAACAAAGCATGTACCCCACAATTGAATGCTAGCGTGCGCCGGTGCTAGTGTAGAATCCTAGAATGAATCTCAAAACAATCACAAAATCAAAATGATGTGGACCACAAGTGCAAGCATGATATTAATTTATTTTTTTTTTTTTTTTTTTTTTTGAAAAATTTACTCCTAAATGGCATTCAAAAGGCATACAAGGAGTATTGGACTCTCAAGTCAAGCAATTTTTAAATTTTAAGCAATATAGTCCTCAAAAGATCAAAATCATAGCTAGAAATGGACCAAGTATAGAAATATCCCTCAAATACACAAGACATGCTCAAAATTTGAATTTTAAAGCAACATTGAAACATACACCAATACCCCCAAACTTAAACTGCACATTATCCTCAATGTGTGAAGAGAACAAAGGAAAGAGTATACCAGTGCTTTAGACATGAATGATCGAGATAGAAGTATCCAAAGTGGGTGGCATGGCCCCCCCAAACTTGGGATAAACTGTGGTCCTGAAAATTTTGCACTCGGATAAACTCATTAGATAACAAGATAGGATAATCAATGCACAATGGACATGCAAATGTAAAATGGGATAGATAGAGAATAGAGAGAGAGGTGTAAGAGTGGTCCTGAAAAATTGGGCAGCACTCTCTCACTGAAGTCACTGTGGTGTACCTGATGGAGTCAAACATACAAATATGAGATACTAAGAGACATCCATAATCAAAAAGCAATATATAGAGAATATAAAGTGCAGGTACATCAATAAAATAATAAAGCCGACAGACCGGCCGCAAAGTATAATACAGTAACAGTGACAGTATAATACAGATCCAGAATAAAAGAAATGAAAGCATAGAACAACTGGAAGTGGAGTCTCAGGAGGCCTGATCGTGAAGATCTGCAGTGGCTGGAGGTGCAGGTGCGGGTGCAGGTGCAGGTGCAGGGAGTCGGCTGGAGAGATCGGCAAAGTAAGCCATGACATCCGCCCTGAAAGAGGTAAACTCAACTCGGTGGGCAGTGATGTCGGCTCGCATGGCTGCTACGTCCTCCTCCAGTGTCTGCAAGCGTGCTCCGAATCCGGGAGTGGGAACTGGAGACTCAGGCAGAGATGCCTCTGAAGAAGACTCCCGAACTCGCTCCTGAGCAGCGACTCGATCACTGGTATCATCGGCATCAGCATCATCTGCAGCATCGGCATACTCCTCCGCAGGTCGCTCTAGGTCAATGTCCATGCGATTGACAGCCGGACCGACTGGTGCGTCGTCCGCTGCAATATCTGCTGCTGCTGGAGGTGCCGGCTGTGCCTGGGCTGCCTCCTCCTCCTCTAGTTCAGTTGCTGCCTCTACAGCTGGCTCCTGAAGACTCCGAATAAGAGCATTGTACCTCTTCTTCCAGCCGCTCCTCCCATAGAAGCTAGACCGTGCAAAGGGCTCTTCATCTAGGGGTACTCTGTAGCGCTGGTCAAGAAGGATCTGCGTGATGAGGTGTCCGAAGGGCAGGACCTTGGACCGCTTAGGGTCCTCCGTGGAAATGAAAGAATCATACGGTAACCTCATCACGCTCCAGATGAGGACTGGGATAGATACCCAGCAGCCTGTGTAAAAAGCGTAAAGAGCTGTCAAGTAGTCATGACGCCTCTGGATCTTGTGGCCCGCCATGTAAATGTTCTGGAAGAGAACTGTGTCGATGAACCAGAGGTCGTCAGGCAAGAAGGTCCTGGTGGCGAATGTCTGACCACCGGCATGATGGCCTGTCAAGGAGACAGCCATGTCAGAA